TTTTCCTGCCCCTTTTTTGCCCCTTTTTCTGCCCTTCCCTATGTCCGCGACTTCCACCCAGGCCTCCTCTCATGGGGTATCTCACCTGCAATCCCCCCCTCCCCTCTCTCTCCCCCCCATCTAGATGGAAAAATGGACGGCCAAGGAAGAACACGCATTGCACAGCACCAGCAAGCCCAGCGTGCTCGCCCTCGACGTGTCAGCCCTCCACCCCAACCTTCTGCTCACGGGCGGAGCCGACAAGGAGGCCGTCGTCTTCGACCGGAAGGTGAGGGAGGGAGGGAGGGAGGGAGTGAGTGAGTTGGAGGAAGGGTGAGAACCAATGCAGGCACCTTGGGGGGAGTCTTGCACGGATTGGCGGTCTGGCTTCCTCTCATTTTTCCTCCCTCCCTCCCTCGATCCCTCCCCTCCTCCCGTCCCCCCCTCTCTAGGCCGAGGTGGTTGTTGATCGCCTCAAGGGCCACAGCAAGAAAGTGACAGCGGTGCTGTTCCACCCTTTGGCTGACTTTGGGGGCCTCGTCATCACAGGTACCCCTCCCTCCTTCCCTCCCTCCTCCGACCCTTCCCCTTTCCCTCCTTCCCTCACAACCCTTCGCCTCACTCCTCCTGGTTCGTTGCTCCTTCCTATGGGCGTAACTCTCTCCTATTTCCCTCCTTCCCTCCCTCCCTCCCTCCCTCCCTCCCTTAGGCTCTGCGGATAAGACCGTCAAGCTCTGGAAACCTTCAGAGAAAGGCGGTGGGCCACGGCAAAAGAAGGCATCTCCCCCCGCCACCTCCTACCACGAGATCGCCTCCCTCTCTGTCCACACGAACGAGGTGACGGGCCTCGCTCTTCAAGCGACTGGGCAGTACTTTGCCACGGCTTCCAAGTGAGGAGGATGAAAGGGCGGGAGGGAGGGCGGGGGAGGGTGTATGCTTGGCGGAAAAGGGAGGGAAAAGGTCAAGACGAGCGGCGACAGAAAGGGAGATATTTACGATCACTGGAAGCGCTCGCAAGCCTCAAGCACGATTCCTATTCTCTCTCATGTGCCTAGTACCCTTCTCACCGTCCCTCCCCTTCCCCTCTTCTTCCCTCCCCCCTCTCCCGTCCATTCTCTTCCGCCCCCTCCCTCCCTCTAGGGATAAATCTTGGGCCTTCCACGACGCCTCCTCCGGGCAGTGTTTGGCCCATGTGATGGACCCTGCGGTCGCCGACAGCTTTGAGTGCCTGGCCTTCCACCCCGACGGCGTGCTTCTGGGTGAGGATGCCGAGGGGGAGGAAGGGGAAAAGGCAGGAAGGAGGGCGAGCGGGGTGTGAGGCCGCTCATTTTTTCAATTTCCGCCTTCTTTGCACGTCAGGGACCGGCACAAATGCCGCCAAGGTCCGCATGTGGGACGTAAAGACACAGGTGAGGAGATAGACGGGAGGAAGAAAGGGGGATGGAGGAAGCGAGGGAGGGAGGAAATCGTATGCATGTAGGGGATGAGATGCCTGCGCGGGGAGCTGTGGGATTAATTGGACTCCCTATTCCCCTCCTTCTTTCCCTCCTTCCTGCCTCCCTCTTGGCCTCCCTCGCTAAGGCGAACGTGGCCACTTTCGAGGATCATAAAGCCTCCGTGGCGGCCGTTTCATTTTCAGAAAACGGTTACTACATGGCGAGCGGTTCCGCGGATGGAACGGTCAAGCTCTGGGATTTGCGAAAATTGAAGTGCGTTCAGACCCTGGACGCGGGGGAGCCGGTGCAGGTAGGAAGGAGGATATTGGAAGGGAGGGAGGTCTTTGCTGCCCTTCAATTCATTCTCTTCAGCGCTCCCCTACCCGCCTTGCCGTCCTCGTCGTAATTCGCTCACTCCTCCCTCGCAATCAAACTCCCCCCCTCTACTTCTCCGCTCGTAAGGCCGTCTCCTTTGACACCTCTGGGCAGTACCTGGCTTTTGCGGCAGGGACACGGACACAAGTGCTGCTCTCCAAAGAGTGGTCCGCCGTCGCCGAGTTTAAGGATCATACCGACAAGGTAGGATGAAGAAGAGAAGGAAAGTTGCCTCCGCTGACGACGAGCTGGTCAATAAAAGAAGGCTTAAGCGAAAGCTTGGATTGCCTTCTGTAGCTCATGAAATCCGCATACGCCTTCATATTGATAATTTTCAGGTGACAGCGCTCAAATTTGGATATCCGGCCTCCGCATTCTTGGCCACTGCCTCCCTGGACCGGACTGTGAAAGTGTATCAGTAACGGGCATTGCACTGTCTTATTCAGATGCTTGCATGTAGTTGTGTCCTTTTCGGTGTCTTAAAAACCCTGGAGAACAGAAACTTTCCCATCAAGGCAGAAGGAGAGCCTGCGCGTGTCTCAGTGCTCAAAAAAGAATCGGCGGATGGGATAGAATAATTGAGTACGACAGAAAAGCGCTGTCTCTGCGTCGATTTCTACAAAGCGAAAATAAAACTTAAAGACAAGATGTGCGCTGAAGTCTGCTGCCAAAGTTGGAGGTTTGGTTTTCGTGAGAATGCTTTCTGCTTTGTCCACGGGCTCAGAATCATTTCCATTGATTGGTATTTTTTAAAGGCACATCACACCAAAGATAAAATAGCACTCTCCACCAAGTTGAGGAAGAATAACATTTTAGATCCCTCAGTAAGGACTACGTGTGTATATATGTTTGAGATAAAAATCTTCATCGAAATTTACCGACAATAAAGGTGTGAGTAACCGTCAAGATCTCCGTCAAAACCCCGATCCAGTGCCATAAGCCATCGCAACAAGAAACCATAGTTATCCAAAAGAATCAATAGCGGCACTGTCGCGGCCGCAACTTCAGCGCATGAGTGCCAATCATATGAGAGGAGTGAGATGTATATATGTTTTGGAGCATTTGAATGCCTCATATATATGTATGCCTCTTCAAGGGGAAGTAACCAACCGCGATCGCCATCGGTCGTACTCCTCCGCCCATGCTCGTGCTCGCTTCGCATACTCACGTTCACCGTGTTTTCCTTTGTATGCATTCAAGTGCCCCGAAATGTCTCACCTCATTTCATTTCTTGCTATTCAACCCACAGGCATCCCTTCAGGGACCATGTCTAATGATTCCTCTCCAGGACGAAACGTAGCACGGCGTAGACCGTCCAACGGTGCAGGAGAGGACTTTTCATCCATTTCAGTCCAAGGACCGACTACTTCTTCGATGGCCTTCAAGGCTCCATCCCCTTACTACGGCAGTTCAAAGGATCATTACGTTTTGCACCAAACACATACCCATGAGGCAGGAACAGGCACCCTGACGAG